TTGGAAACACAGCTGGTAATATTTGGTTTTAATTCGGCTTTTATCGGGGTTTATTTTTTGTATTTCTGTATTTTTGTATTTTGCATTTTTTGTATTGTGTGTATATTATTTGTTTTTAATATGCTGTGAACCGCCCTGAGTCCTATGGGAGAAGGGCGGTATACAAATTAAATTATCTATCTATCTATCTATCTAATTGACTGAAAGTCAGTCCTTTTCCTCCTATTTTTTGAAAGTAGGAACAATTGTCCTTCTCCAATTCTCTAATGTTCCATGGTTTGTGAAAAATCACATAAAAAGCATTACAGGAGGTGCAAACCAACAAAATCAGAAAATTCTCCAATGTGAGACCAGTCAGAAAAAAGGAAGGCTTATCAGCATAGCGTCTATAAAATCTCCTTTCCTACAAGTGACTGATAGTTATAAAATCAAATCTAATGTGTTATTAACAAGCAAGTCCTGTTGAATCAAATCACATTAAAGGGGTGAATACAGAATACCTAGCAGAGGATAACTTTTGCCTGAAAAGATTCAACAAGGACAAAAATAGTTTTGCCTCCAAGAGATTGTTAACAATGTATCATCTAAAAGTGTAGTTTTGATACAGGAATTTTAGTATAATATATTTCAAATCCTGGCATAAAATGTATAACTCTATATACTTCAGATTTATCTAAGTCTGAGTTCTCCTAGGGTCAAGCAAGAACATAAAGACAAGATTGTTTCTGAGAGACCATTAAAATGTTTTTTTAGATACAAAATATTACCGGTGATACATCAGGATCGTAGTCATCAATTTGCTCCATTGTGATAATGTCTTTATTTCCAAGTGCAATTTGAAAAGCGGTCCTATCATCAAGGTATCTAAGTTAATCCATCTCAGAAAAAAATACCACTTTTAATTAGAACTTTCTTTTTTTAACAGCTTCATTTTATGGGGTTCATAACTCTGCACAATTCATAGAAATGTTCATGCAGTTTTAAACATAGGAAAAAGAAGACCTTATCCGTTGTTTTAAGTAGATATAAACTTAAATAACTTAATAGCTAGCCAGGGGATTAAGACTTCATATAACTTAATCCCAGCTTAATTTTTCTGGAAGTTTCAATGAGATTATGAAATGGCAGGCTTCCTACAATGACCTATATTATTTGAAAAAAGCATTACTATTTATTTAAACTTAGTACTATTCTGAAAGAGATCAACGTAAGTTAAATTAAATCTAAATAGCAATTGATCTAGAAACAATTCCTTTTTTTGCAATATCAGTGCTTAAGGATTTTACCAACTGATGCAGAAATAACTTGGTGACATTTTATGCCCTCTAGGTCAGTGTTTCTCAACCTTCCTAATGCCACGACCCTTTAATACAGTTCCTCATGTCCTGCGGCTGGAGCGCGCGCCAGGCAGGCTGAGGGTGCACGCGAGCCATCGCCCAGCAACCGCCTCGGCCCGGGAGCGCCGTGCATGCGTGGTGCCGCCCCCTGCACCGGCCGAGGCGGAGCTGGCGAGGCGCCGCCGCCTGCGATTTCATCATGCGGAGGGCTGCGCCTCCCCCTCGGCCTGCCCACCCTCGGCCGCGCCGCTTCATGCCGTGGTGCTTCTGCGTCGTGATCGGCTGCCTCAGCAGCAGCAGCAGGAGCCGCAGCGCCCGCCTCCTCGCTGCCCTCCTGCCCCGTGCCTCGCTCCATGCAGCCCACCCCTCCTCCTCCGCCAGCACCCGGCCTCGCTGCCCGACCCCGGCGCCAGCATGGATGGACCCGCCACCTGGAGACGGAGTGGTGTCTTGGTTCCTAAGACCATCGGAAATATGTGTTTTCCAATGGTCTTAGGCGACCCCTGTGAAAGGGTCATTCGACTCCCAAAGGGGTTGCGACCCACAGGTTGAGAACCGCTGCTCTAGGTATATTACATTTTTTATTTGATAAAGGATACTTTCCAGCATAAACTAGAGTTTCTGGATCAACATCATCTTCATAAGCATTCAAAGGAACAAGTTTCCTTCTGACTGGGTCAAAAACCAACTGATAGAGGAAAGTATTATTAGCACGAATAAATCCTTGTATGTATTCTTCAGATACCAAAATGTTCATTTTTAAATACTGTCCCATTTTTCCAATGACCTGTCAGGAAAACAAACAAATAGTGCTCATGAGTAATAGAAACACAAGTGCTTAGCTCCTAAATAATCTCTTCAGTCACTTTAGGGGATAATTTCCATAATCATCTGTCCTCCTATTATATCATTCCCTAATGTTCTTAGAAACAGATGTTCAAAAAGAAGCTTAATATCCAAGCCAATACCTTTATGGATCTACATATCAGTGATTTGGACTTTGCATGAAGAAAATCTAGAACATCTGGGTTATGAGAAAGATTATTTTCTAAACACAGAACTGCTCTTCTTTTTTACTCTATAGGGGCAATTAAAATATTAAATTAAAATTAAATTAAAACTGTCTCTAGGGTGAAAGAGAACACCCCTTCTCTTCCCATTACAAAACTGTAAAAGTATAAGTATACGGAGCCAAATATAATTCAAGCAAACATGCACTGATAAAAAACATAATAGGAAAATAGTAGGGCTTCACTTCAAGAATAATTTAGAAGTGCTTTTGAATATCATGTAAGCACAGCTTCTTTCTGCTATTCATTAAAATAGAGAGAAAGCCTAGAAAAGCAGTATCCCTGCTTTTAAGGTACCCAATATGAAAATGAAACAAAGCCACAGCTGTCTGAGGTTGGAAAACTTGCTATGTGGAAAGTGGTACATCCCCTGAAACAGGAAATACATTCATCTTCGGAGAAAAAAAAAACATCTTCTATCCTAATGTTCAGATCTCTCAGTGAATAGATGATAGCATGTACACTAACTTATAGTTAGTAGATCATCTAGGCTTCTGGCTATTTAATATGCAAACCTGGACAGAAACTGCCAAGTTCAGAGCACAGCAAAGAATTTTTCTTCATTAATAGATCAGTAAACTCTCTTGTCAAGAAAGATAATGCTTATAGTCTTCTAATTCCTTTCCATTATTCAGTCTGTGATTACTTAGGTTCTTCTCTGAGTTCCCCATGATGAGAAACACTGTTAAAAAGCATCAGGAATTAACAACAGAAGAAAGAAGATGCTTTTTGAATAAGAGTTAAGAAGCTTGGATCACTTGTCCCTCAATGAATCTTGATGTGTAACCTCAATATTAGATAACTTTTCTCTCAGACCAGTGGGCAAATTTAAATCCAATTCATTACTTCTCTTGTATGGAAGTGGTTTGAAAGGATTCCCTAAGTTAGATGATTCCAAATCACCCTCTGGAACATGATGGCCTCTTTTTAAATGGGAGGATATGAAGTAGAAATCACCTCTGGATAATGTAGATTGAGTTTTTTACAGAGGAAGAAATAAAAATTGATTTCTAGTATAGAGACTGAAGTAGGAGACAAGGATCTTTAAATATGTCTGTCTAAATTGCATTCTGATTGATTTTGCATAACTTGCATATTATTGTGAGATGTTGCACTACTTGTATAAGTCCCGCTGGGCCCAACCGCTGTAAGCTGTACTAATAGATTTTGATTGTACTGAGATGCTGCTAGGGCACAAACCCAACATTACCACACCTCTAGAAAATGGTACCTGCCCTGCTCAGTTACCTAAATGCTTGAGGAAATAAATTGGGTGCATTCCTAAATAAGAACATTTACTATAAGAATCCCATCTGCTCCCCTGAATCAACTGAGTAGCAAGCACAGAACATAACACTTTTTGTCATAACAATCCCCTTGGAACACTCAAGCGATGCTAACCCTTTTACTGGGTCTTGAGCCAATGTGTAATATAATCTTTTTTCTACAGTACAAGTATCACTAAAGATGATGAACTTATTTCTTATTTTTTTAAGGAGAAATACAGCACAAACATAAATGAAAGGAAGGAATAGTTAATTTGATTCAGAATCTTTAACAGGCACTGTAGAGAAAGTTTTATATCTATATCTATCTATATCTATATATTGAGCACTAGCAAATTTGATTATAATGAAATCATCTGATTGTCAGTGATAGCAACTTATCCCAAAATTTGTTATCATTGTCAAATTATATTAAAACACTTAAAAAACCTTTTATGCTACCCTGCTCAAAACAAACAAAACAGAAAGAAAAAGAAAGAGATTAAAAAAAAACCCCAGGAAGGTAAAGTGGGGGAAAAGGAAAGTTAGTTCCAGATCCGAGCCAAACACTTTACATGTCATTATTTTAATTTCTACTACCCTCTGACAAGAAACAAGTAGATGACACTATGTTGACTAGTCTTGAATTTGCTGTGAACGTCAAAGGCCTTCACTAATTATTACCCAACACAAACAACCATATGCCTCTCTTACAGATCATCACGTATTGTTATGAAGCAAATTCTGAAATGTTTTAAGGCAATGGCCTGAATACCTGATAAATATATAATCCACCCATCCCAACGTAATGACTTATACCGAGTTAGATTGCATTCACAGCAACAGGGACATCCGTCATGGGAGACCTTGAACTCCTCAGAGGAAAATTCTTAGTTGCTGATTGTGCAACACTTCTGAGTTGTAAGGGGGGGAAAGGTGCTTTAGAGCTTGTGAGAATGTGCATGTAGTATCTATCTGCCACATTCCCCCCCCCCCCTGGAATTGTGTTGCAGCATAAAGCTGACGATATCAACTGATGACTTGGCTGCTTTAAGGAAATGCCAACAAGTAGAACCTCTTTGTCATCCAAGGATCTTTTTTCCTTGTAGAATCTGCTTGTCATCCAAGGATCTTTTTCTCTTTGCATCCAAAGTGCTGCCAGCCTATGACACATATATTTATCAATTGTAGCTACGGATTTTTATGTCTCATAGCATCCAGGCCTAAAGGGAAAGGGCAGCCTCCTCAATTTAATAAGCTGCTTCTCAAACTTTAGAGGCTCTGGTAGGAAAGGGTAAAATTAGGCCTTTTTTAATTAGACCTATTTGCTTATTAAGCGCTGACAGTTAGTGGGTTTAGAGGCTCCCTTGCTATTATTCTGGTTAAGGAGGAGTTCTCATATAAACTGACTTGGCTACTCCTCCAGGGGCTCAGAAACAAGGCAGGAGAAACGCTCAAAGGGGAACTTTTTTTTTTGCTTAGGATTCTTATGATCCCCAAAAATACAAGATAAATCAAGATGCAAAGAACATATTACCTTTATAATATCAGGGTTATTGGCTATCTTTAACAGTTTGCAGGACTTGCCTAAGCCGATACCATGAATGGATGGAAGGTAGTCACAGCCAGAAAGAATGCACATGTAGCGGAATTTCTCTTCTGTAAAGACGTCCCCAAGCTGCTTGCACATTCCGAGGCGGGCTTGATCAATTTCTAAACCATTTCCAAACTTGTCAATTTTAAGAAACACCTTGAAATACAAACAAAAAATCATGAATGAATGTGTATATTCAAGGAACACCCACCAGGCGTATCAACAGCATCAAAATGATAGGTAGGATTGGGTGTTCAAACTTCTGCCTCATTTCAATGTGCATGCAAAAAGGGAAGAGGTTTTGGTTGTATTCTGTCCTAGACAGGAGATTTTGCCTTATTCCAATCCGGAACAGATAGATAACTCGGAGGAACAAACAGAAAATATTGCTTTATTCTGGGAATCCTAAACAATGACTTACAGTTTGTAGAGGTGCGTCCAAAATAGGTTTCTGCAATTTTGATTGTCCCACAGGTAAATTGATATTAGATTTTCCCCTCTTCTCCTTCTTAAATGTCACATGTTGGGATGATTATGGGATCTCCAGCCGTGTGGCTGGATGCCATGAACAAGATGAACAAAAGAACTCCCATGTGGCTAGTGTCCAGGAAGTCTCCCAATGCCCTTTAGAAACTCCTCCCACTGACCAAAAGACAAACCCAGCCTTTAACCCAATAACTGCCAGGGTCCAAAACAGGTTGCCCTAGGTACCTGCTCACCATTTTGATGCTACTGAACATTGCTAATTTTATCTAGTATCAATACATTCAACATTTATCTAAATTAAGGGTATGAGTGCAGCGACATACGGCAATCTTTCCCTTTTTTGCTACAGCTGAAAACCTAACCTCAACTTGTCTCAGATGTAGCAAAATATTTCTCAAAAACCATTTTGTCAAATGCACGCCAAGGGATATCAACAAATATTATCCATGCTTATACAACACTTTTGTAACATTTTGAAAACTCTGCATATACTATACATAGTATTATTGTAAGGAAACATTAAGTTAATTGATGCAAAACTCCCTAAATGTTCTTAATGAATTATGCCTTTTCAACATAACAGTCACCTACCTTCTTGTAAGGATAACATCAGTATTAAATATTTCAAGTGCGCACATAGGTATATTTACAAACATGTGTCCATATGAAGACACACATACACACAAAATTCTGAATTCCCTTTAGAAATATCAAGTTTCAGATCTAAGCCTATGAAAGCGAATCCTCCCGCATGTCATGGTTCCGACAGACAGATGAATAAAGCAGAAATCCGAGGCTTGAAAATTCCTCAAAGAACATGTTTATTAGTTACAAAGTATCAGCACGATCAAAAGTGAAACCAAGTCTGAAATTCTCACTAAAATTTTCCAGTTACAAAGTATAATGTCTCACCCACAAAACTATGCCATCACTATGTTCCCCAATACATTCATTTGGCTTTCTAATACAATGCCCAGTCCCTGATTGCGGGAGCAGTAGATGACCTTGGTTCCCACGGGACAGAAGATTATTATGATTATTGAAACACCTGGGCCAGCCTCCCTCCCTCCATCCTGTGTGGCAACATAGAGTGAAGAGAAAGATGGCTGCAGCCAGGCTCATTGTAGAACTGACACCACATATGAAAAAAAGCAAAATTTAAGCATCCATGCTCGCTTGTATAAATTGCCTGCTGTCAATTTCTAAACCATGTGGCTGTCTCCTTTTAGGCTGGTTGTTCAAGTCTGCCTTAACCAATTGATAATGTAACATTTTGCCATATTTAAAGCTGGCAAGGGAAGAGAATGCAAAGGCAGGTGAGCAAGTGAAGACCCTGCAATGGACCATAGAGGAATAAGAAGTAGTTTTCCATGCAGACTACCTACCTTTTTGCACCCAAAAGTGAGGAGATCAGAATCCTCTGTAATTATAGCTTGGACCATGCCAGTTTTGTTCAAATAAGTTAACTGAGCATCAGCTTCATAAGGCGCAACAAGACAATCTATTCCTTGGGCTCTGGCAGCCTGCAAATAAATAAAAAAAGTAATCCAACATTCAAAATGCTCATCATAATACCACACATTAACATATAAAACTACTTTGTAATAAATGAAACTGTTCAGCTACTAGATATAACTTGAATATTGGGACTGGGATCCTGGAAAGCTAGTATTACACTCTCTATACAGGTAGTCCTCGACTTATGACCACAATCAAGTCCAAATTTTCTGTCGCTAAGTGAAACATTTGTTAAGTGAGCTTTGCCCCATTTTATAACCTTTCCTGCCATAACTGTAGTTGTTAAGTTAGTGACACGGTTAAGTGACTCTGGCTTCGCCATCGACTTTGCTTGTCAGAAGGCTGCAAAAGGGGATCACGTGATCCCGGGCCACTGCAACTGTCATAAATATTGGTCAGTTGCCAAGCATCTGAATTTTGATCACGTCACCGTGGGGAGGCTACAATGGTCATGTGAAAACTGGTCACTTTTTCAGTGCTTTTGTAACTTCGAACAGTCACTAAACGAACTGTTGTAAGTCGAGGACTACCTGTACTTTTCTCGTCCTTGAACCAGCTTTTACTATATAGTTTCCTCACAGACTTGGGGAAGGGTAAACACACTTCCTTGTTGGGGAACATGTTGCTGGTCTAACCTGTATGGGGGGGGGGGGGGGGGGGGGGGAGGGAGGGAGGGAGAGAGAGAGAGAGAGAGAGAGAGAGAGAGAGAGAGAGAGAGAGAGAGAGAGAGAGAGAGAGAAGTAAAGGAGAAATGAAGAGACTACACAAAGGCCGTTATCAATTTGCCATCCTTGTAAACCTAAATACACTTTCAGTTCTAAAAGAACCCAGTCATACCAGGTTACTAATCATCCATAAATTTTATAGTAGTATAAAAGTATAAAAGTAATATTGCACACAGTTCTCACAAATCTTGCAAACAGTAATTAGACTGTACACTTTAGACTGCAGATAGATCTCATCTAAATGAAATCCACACTGAATACTAGATGTCGGAAGAATTGTACCCTAGATTTGTAGCTCATTTAGTTAAGATCACACCTGCAGATAAAACTGATACATCTGAACTGCAGATTAATCAGCTCAATATTAGGCCTTATATATACCCCAGGTAGCAAAAAATGGGGGGGGGGGAGAGATAGATAATCCCCCCCTATGATAATAAACTTTTTAATTTAGTAACTGTGGAAAAATACTTTTGTCTCAAACGATATCTTTTATTATAGATATACCACTAAAGTATATGATTTAGGTTACAATAAAATAAATACAATTCATTGTTTTGCTCCAAACTAAGTTATGCAAGCTTAAGATTGATAGCAAAGGCAAATGCTATAATCAAGTCATGTAAAGTGAAATTCATAGTAGGCAATCTGCTAGCATAAATACTTACTTGAATCACTTCACGGGCCATTGCATGTGTAACATTAATGCTGCGAGAAAAGCATTCTCTTGCTTCTGATAGTTTCCCTTCACGGAGCAGCTGTTTCCCTTTTAGGAGATTTGCTTGTCGTTTTCTTCAAAATAACATAACAAATCCATTGTCTAAGAGTATCACATTCATAACAAATAAGCACAATATTGTGCTATTCACCCCAAAACTATCTTTACATTTTTGAGATTTATTATTTACTAAGCTTAAGGATCAGATATAAAAGACAACAATACTCAACATCATAAAGTCCGGTAATAATATGTTCATTGCTATTATTATTAGCATATGGCATTGTTACATTAGCCAGGAAACAACAATGCTATTGCAGAGTGGTAGTTTGGCTGCCAATTTACCAGCTCTGTTGTAGGACATGTTCATGCGCTTTCCAAGGTATGCCACAGGAGGGCGAGCTAGCTTTGTACCAGAAAGAAAGATGAGTGGCTTTTCGTGCAGTGTCATCCATGGTCCCTTCCGTCCCCAGAGTCTCCTCACAAACGAGTGCCGCAGTTGGGAAGGTTCAAAGCGGGCCGGAATTTGACTGCCTGTATAAAGCACTGAAGTGGTACCTATTTATTTACTTGCATAGAACATGCTTTTGAACTGTCAGGTGGACAGAAACTGAGGAGAGTGATGGGAGCTCACTCTGACATGCTAGAATTCGAACCATTGGACCAGAGACCATCTCCAGTGTCTTTAAGTTACTGAGCCACTGTGCCTATTCTTCATTCCTAATTGCTATTACTTAGTAATAGTCGGTGTGTGTGTGTGTGTGTATGTACAGTATCTATGTATGCATAAATGTAAGTAGGTAGGCAACAGACAGACAGACAGACAGACAGACGGAAGGAAGGAAGGAAGGAAGGAAGGAAGGAAGGAAGGAAGGAAGGAAGGAAGGAAGGAAGGAAGGAAGGAGAGAAAGAAAGAAAGAATTTGTATGTTTCCCAGCTCATAGGAATGCCTTGGGGATTTTTTTTCTCTGTAATGTCCAGTCAGATCCAGCTCATTTCATCTCAATCTTTCTTTTGCTGATTTGCCCCTTCTTACTAAATTTTGATCCAACTTTGTTTTTGAAGAATTATCCTGCT